GGCCAGCCCCGCGGGCCGCACGGCCTGCTCCCAGGAAACGGGGGCTCACGGGCCTGGAGGCCGCTGTGCGCCTCGCTGCCACTGAATTACAGCGCCTTAGGATAATGCTGAAGCCCAAAGGACCTTGTAAATAGGCAGGTTTGTTGCTAACCGCGGCTACGGTGGGGCCTCCGACACAAGAAGAGCATGGAATGAGGCTGGGGGAGGGCCACAAAGACGTTCCGGGGGCTGGAGCAGCTCTGCCTTGGAGACAGGCTGAGAGTTGGGGTGGTTCAGCCTGGAGAAGAGAAGGCTCTGAGGAGATCTTATAACAGCCTTCCAGTGCCTGAAGGAGCTACAGGAAAGCTGGGGAGGGGCTTTCTACAAGGGTGTGTAGTGGTAGGACAGGGGTTAACAGTTCTAAGCTGAAAGAGGAGAGATTTTCATTGGATAGCAGGAAGAAATTCTTGACTGTGAAGGTGGTAAGACTGGAAGAGGTTGCTCAGGGAATTTGTGGATGTCCCTTGCTGGGGGACAAGGCCAGGTTGGATGGGGCCTGGAGCAACCTGATCTCGTGGGAGGTGTCACTGCCCACGAAGGGCGGTTTGAACTAGATGTTCTTTAACATCCCTTCCAGCTCAGACCATTCTGTGATTCTCTGACAGCCTGACTCACCACAAAAGCAGTGTGTGCCTGAGGATGGGTACGGTAGTCACACTTGGCTGTTTCTTCTTCAGTCATTGAAATAAAGACTAATTTAGGCTGGAAAACATCCCCAGAGGCTTTCTAATCCAGCAGGTCAAATGTGGTCCAGGATGAGTGCCCAGCAAAACACAGGTAGAGGGTACAGGAAAAAGACATGTCCAGTGGAACTTGGGAACATATATTTTAGTTTGAGTGCAGTTACTTGTTTTTACTCTTTTTTCCAAAAGCACAGAATGAATTGTTGCCATATTTTTCATGTGTAAACACTGGTCTCTTTTGAAAAGTGTTTTCTGGAGGATACTGTGCTCATCATAAACTTTTACTGCCCACATCAAAGCAGTTATTTATGAGCGGTTAAGAATATAGTGTCCTGAAAGTTTCCTTCACATATGCCAGCCTGATTCAGGCTCTTTTTAAAACCTACAACACCGAAGAGCCAGATTTCACCGTGGAGAGAAGCAAAGCAAAGTGGTTAGGTTTTGCTGCCTCTGCTTGGTGTTCTCTCAGTGGTAGTGCTGAACATGAAGGGTGACTGCTGCGGGTTTCTGCAGCTTGACTGTAACATTTTTCTCTCTTTTTTTGTTTCTGTCTTTTG